GCCGCCAGGGGAGCACGATAGGGGAAGGGGTAGCATAAGCCGCTGCTTTGCGACTAAACGAAACCAAATGGTGCGTTCGCTGAATGGCGACGGCGACGGCGACGGCGACGTCGCAGACGCTGGCGCTGAAGTTTGCTGCGCTAATGTTAGAAATTGCAGCCCAGCAGCCCCCTTCTCTTACGCGCACTCCTCCTCTCTCGCTCTGGCCCGCAAAGCTTGCCGACAGCCGCGCGACATATGTTGCGGAAATATTTTGCGAACGAAGCGTCAGGAAATACTTTGCCTAATGCACCCATCTCGCTCTGGCACACAACTAATTTACATGCGAACAACAGGCAAGGCAAAAACAAAAAGCACAAAGCAATAACAAAACGTTCGACGCTCCGGCATTTTGTTTTATTATTTCACACCTGATGCGCGTTCGTGTTTCGACGTTCGTTTGACCATCGGCACAAACTCGGGCTGCCATTCGCCAGATCGCTAATTGCCTCATCGTATGCTTGTGTGTGTGTGTGTAATTTAACTATATAAGTGTGTGCGCCTGTGTGCTTATGCATGTAATTTAGCGTAGATCGCAACCGCTTTTTGTTTTGCTTTGTTTTTCTCAACCAATCGGCACAGCTGGGGCGTGTGTTCCGTTAATTAATTATTTATATGTATATGATAAAGGCTGCCACCTTTTGCAAATATAACAGATATTGAAGATATTAAAATAACTCATAACGGACTGGCTTTCATTGAAAATTATCATCTATTTTTAATAATAATAATTAAATAATAAACTTTCTTCACATGTATATTTGCATGCATTACATTATTTGTATATGGAAATACATATAGCACAAATTAAGTGGTATGTGTCTCACATATTTTCCCGTGCTAAATTTAATGTTGTGTCCGTTTATCTGATGGTACCTATGTATGTATGTCTGTAAGTACGTACGTCAGTTAGTATACAAATGCATTCAGATGATTTCATTACATCTGGTGTGTGTCTTGGCTAATGTTAGCAGTCGAAAACTGACTGCTGCGAAAGTGAACAAATATATGAAACGTCGTCATTTTCGACCGACCGCCACATTCTACCGACCAGGGACGTTAAATGTTCCATGCTGAACTTCACAATTTCCACAATTATAAGCCCATAAAATTAGCAAAATGCTCGTTTATACTCCCTATGGCAGCGTTTAAAACTCTCAATTCTGCCCATTATTATTTACATAAATGGCGAAATTGAATAAGCTTATAGGGCCTACTAATAACGCTGTTTTAATAAGCTGTTAGAATTCGAGGTCCGTGGTGCTCAGACTTTCCGTAATTGTTTTTTATTTTAAAAGCTGGCTATAAATAATGAACACATCACCAATATTCTTGGATTTTCTAAAATATCTATTAAAACAAAAAAAACACTTATTTATCAATAGCGTGACAAAATGGCTCACGGTTTGATTCAGTGGTGGAACCAATAGTTCCGCAACTGTTCAAATGGTTCTCAGATGGAACTTCTGGTTGAGCCTGTTGTTGGTGTTGTTGCCGTTCCCAAGATTTATTCTAGCAAATAATTTATAAAAGAAATTAAACCATTTATGTAAAATTGCAAAGAAATACAATAAAAATAAGCGCAAAATGTAAGTTGGTGTTAGATTTGTACAAATATGCAACGTGCGCGTGCTAAATTGTGAAAATTGTGCGTAACAAAAAGCCAAAGAGACTACTTCGGCCACAGTGCCCCTAGTGGTGGCTACTTTTTTTCGTCTCGCTTTATGTGTGCTTCGTTGTCGTATACGTATAGACTTGTTGGCATGCTTGTGTTGGTGTGAAAACGCTGAAACAGTCAGGCTAGCAACGTGCTCGCTGTAGAGCCAACAATAGTGCAAGCGAGACAACCCTACTACAGCATGCATACGTGCGTCCGTGTGTGTGTCTGTGTGTGTGTGCGTGTATGAGTGCCAGGGCAAACGACTCGCTTGTATTTTTTCGTGTGTCGCCGTCGTCGTCTCCGTTAAAGTTTTTCTTTGCCTCAACGCAATCTTAACAAATTTTTAAACATATTGTGTTTGTTTCAAACGGTTCTCATTGTCGTTAATGAGAAACATTTGCCCAAAGCCAGCGCGCTGCTAGTACATATCTAAAGCGCCAGACGTGCGTGCCCGTACACTCGAACAAAGCGCGGCTGAGAAAAAAAAATTGAAAAAAGAAACCGAAAATCATTAAACAATACATAATTGCAAAAAAAAAAATTGCCAAACGGCCACTATGGCCCTGGCTTGAGCCGTTAGGAAATGCATAAAACGAATTGTGTCCGATATTGCGTAAATGTGAGTGTATGTGTGTGTCTCTCTCAAAAACAAAAACAAAGAAAGTTGAAATGATTGTGCTGCCTTGTTTCCACTTATCATGACGTCGTCGTCGTCTCGAGTGTTGTTGTTGTTGTTGCTCTTGTGAAATTGAAATCCAATTAAACGCAGTGCATTTTCAGCTGGAAATTTAAGCAAAAGTCAAGTGCAAGCAGCAGCAGCAGGAGCGGAGCAGTCTGGCCACACTGTGACTCCCAAATCCGCCAAGGTAGGAATCAAAAATAACTTTTCACCTCTCTCACTCGCACACAGACAGACTAGAGCCAGACAGTTAGCCGTTATAATAGTTCGGGTTGAAAAAAATAAATACAAAAACAAAACGTATGCAGTTTAACGTTAGGTTGCCTCGTCCTCGGCAGCGAGGCCATTGACTGCAGCAGCGGAGTCAACGTTGTCGCCTTTAAAATTAATTGCCTAGATTGTTTTATTAGCCAGGCTTCTTTTTTTTCGTATAAGTTGCTGACGCTTATTGGGCTGCTGTTTATACAACTGTTTGTGCTTGCTGCTTCTTCTTTCGTACGTAACCGTTGGTTGTTGCCTTTGTGGTGGCGCTTGTATTTTGCGGAAGTCTTATTTGGCGCCCGCCAACGCAACGTGCCGCCGATTTGCAATTGTAATAAGGCCCCAGCAAATTAACATAGCTTACTTATATACATACAGACATACATACATACACTTGTATGGCATGTCTGCCGGAACTAGCAGCAAGAACAGGAACAACAATAAGAAGCCGTCGCACTGCACTCCCACCACGATCAGCTGTTGCTCTCACAAGCACACACAACACAACAAACACCCACACATATACACACACTTAGAGAGAGTAAGAGCCTGCGACCATCTCACTTGCGCACCTGTCAAACGCAGGCAGCAACATAACTAGAACGTGCATTTAAAAAGGTAACAAAAAAGAACGGTAAACGTTACTTTTTTTTTTTTTGTAAACGAAACTGACGACAGCGACATGAGCGGAGTGCTAATAAATCAGCGTAGGCAAAGAAAGCAAACAACAATTACAAGCACATATATTTATATATTTGTATGTGTGTGTGAATGTGTAGGTGTGCATTTATAAAGCTTGACCAGTTTTGAGGTTAGAATCGACCCAGCTTCACAGGTCAAACACACACAAACGCACACTCATACATATGTATAGATAAAATCATGTTGTTGTAGGTGCGTGTTGGACAACATCAAAAGAAAGCGCAGCAAATAGTGAGAGAAGCAGACAGAATGTAGATAACTACAAGACAAGCGACAGCAGCTATTATAATAGGCACAATAATAATTGTTTCCTATTTGAAGAAAGCAAAACTAACAACAACGAAACAAAATTTTGTCATTTATTTTGTTAGCGAGCTAGAGAAAATTTCAGTTCCACTGTTGCTGTGCGCCTTTTGCCCAACTGCTTAAGATTTGTCTGTTTGCTGGGGCGCGACTCCATTTTTAATATGCATGTATGTGTGCGTGTGTGAGTGTGCTTTTCACCATTGAAAGTGTCATTTAAATGGCATTTTTGTCTGTTTGTTGCTTCTTTTCTACCTACTGTTCATCTCTAATTGTTTACCTACACACACAAACACACTCACGGTTGTCTTTATGGTATCTGGCTGACAGCAGGTTATTGTTAGGGTTTTTTTTCTTGTCTTTTTAACCGCCTTGCAACTTTTGCGCTGATTCATCGCTTAATATTAATGCCGTCATGTGCGATGCGCTGTGTTTGTTATTTTTAGATATGTATGTATGTATGTATTTACGCAGAATTGGCGCCGTAGAAATCCCGCTGATAAGATGTCAGGACGTTTAAGTCGCTGTGTAATTCCTTGTTCACACAGAGAACATTTATTTATTTATTGATTTTAAGCTATTTATAGTAAAGCACCTGTCGAATTCAGTCATTAGCTCAAAACCTGTAAAAGATATCGTGAATTTCGTGATTTATCCACGCCGTGTGTGACGTCAATAAAATAATAACATTGTCTGAAAGGGGAATGCATGGGCAGATATTCGAACTTTAAAATCTCAAACGGATAGACGCGCGTTAATCAAATCCAATATATTCGCTAACACTATGTGAACAGTGTGCTACAGTCTTCGATTTTGGTTATACTGTTATACGCGGTGGTGCCACACTGTGAAGTTTCGCTTATGCTGAAAACTGCAGTGCTTTGCATTTACAGTTAGTTATCTTTGTGTTTGCGTTGTGAGACGTGAGTGACGCTCAGTTTCGTTTTGTATTCTTATCTAATTGAAACATCACACGTCGCCAGCTCACGCCGCCCGCTATCAGCGTTTTCTTTTATACATGTACATATATGTAAATGTTGTTTTGCATTTTGTTGTGAGATTTACAGCTGCAGCTCAATCGATAGCTGTCACACATTTATCGATGACAACAAAGCTGCTCACATATTCAATTATTTTAAATAAATAAAAAAAAAAAACAAAAACAAATAATTTGTAAATATATTTTGGAAATATATTTATATTATATGTAGGTTCTTGCATGTGTTTCTCACTATATCTAACTGTAATAACAACAACAAGAAATGCTTAAGAAAGTTCTTTCCTTAATTGCAGCAGCCGCAGCGCCCGCGACTTGCACGAAACGCCGACAACGCCTGAGCGCGCGCCTTAAATACGAAGAACAAAACACAACAGAGATAAGAGAGAAGAAGCAGCAGCAGCAACAGGAACGAGAGTGCAAGTTTTTTGCAAACGGACAAAAGGACAGCGCAAGGTTTTTATATAAATACATAAATATATTATAAAGTATTGCTCATTGTGGATATATCATAAATGAGTGAATTTCCAAGGTGGAATTTGGTATTAAACTAATTTTCTTTTGCACAGGCAACGTTGTGCGACGCCACACGCACACGCGCACGCAAACATATTGACACACATACATTTATATACATATACATATATATAAGGACAGACACCAATATGGAACTGCGCGTTGGGAACAAATATCGCCTGGGCCGCAAAATTGGCTCCGGCTCATTCGGCGACATCTATTTGGGCACAACAATCAATACGGGCGAGGAGGTGGCCATCAAATTGGAATGCATACGCACCAAACATCCACAGCTGCACATCGAATCGAAATTTTATAAGACAATGCAGGGCGGCATTGGCATACCCCGGATCATTTGGTGCGGCAGCGAGGGTGATTACAATGTGATGGTGATGGAGCTGCTTGGACCCTCGCTGGAGGATCTGTTCAATTTCTGTTCGCGCCGCTTCTCATTGAAAACCGTGCTGCTGCTGGCGGATCAAATGATATCGCGCATCGATTATATACACTCGCGCGATTTCATACATCGCGACATCAAGCCGGACAACTTCCTGATGGGTCTGGGCAAGAAGGGCAATCTGGTGTACATAATTGATTTTGGTTTGGCCAAAAAGTTCCGGGACGCACGCTCCTTGAAGCACATAGCATATCGGGAAAACAAGAATCTGACAGGCACCGCACGCTACGCCTCGATCAATACACATCTGGGCATTGAGCAGTCGCGACGTGACGATCTGGAATCGCTTGGATACGTGCTCATGTACTTCAACTTGGGCGCCTTGCCCTGGCAGGGTCTGAAGGCGGCCAATAAGCGACAGAAATACGAGCGCATATCCGAGAAGAAACTATCCACATCGATTGTTGTTCTCTGCAAGGGCTTCCCCAGCGAATTTGTCAATTATCTGAATTTCTGCCGACAGATGCACTTTGACCAGCGTCCCGATTACTGCCATTTGCGTAAATTGTTCCGCAACCTATTCCATCGCCTGGGCTTCACCTATGACTATGTGTTCGACTGGAATTTGCTCAAGTTTGGCGGACCGCGCAATCCGCAGGCCATCCAGCAGGCGCAGGATGGCACCGATGGCCAAGGCCAGGGCCAGGATGCCGCAGCGGCAGCAGTAGCCGCCGCCGCCGCCGCCACTCATCAGCAGCAACAGCACAAGGTTAACACAGCTATGGCCACTGCCGGCGGCAGCACACAACAGATGTTGAGCAGCAATTCGGCTGCTGGACAAACGCTTGCCATGCTCGGCGGCGGCGGTATCGTCGGCGCCGGCGGCGGCAATGGTGGAGCCGGTGCGCAGTTAATTGGCAACGGTGGACTCAATATGGATGACTCAATGGCCGCCACAAATTCATCGCGACAGCCCTACGATACGCCCGAGCGACGTCCATCGATACGGATGCGCCAGGGCGGCGGCCTGCAGGCTGGCGGTGTTGTGGGTGATGTACGAAATGCTAAATAATATTTTATTGTTTAGAATGTTGTGCGACGATGCGAATTAAGCGCTGGACACACACACACACACGTCCACACAGAGAACGAGTACATACAGCAGATGCAGCCACACATACACACATTTAGTATATATATATATATGTATAAATATATACATATTTATGTGTGTATATATATATATATATTTAATGTACGCATATATAACATGTTATATGTATAGAACAGTCAGCGACCTGGTCGCTGGCAACATGTTGCAGTAACACACACACACACACACGCATACAAGCATACCCGAGCACACACACACACACGCACGCAACGAGAAGCAAACAGCTGCGCTTTCCTTTTGTACATTTTTGTTTGTTTTTATTATTTTTTTCGCTTAAATATTTGCGTTTTGCTTCGATGCTTTTTCTAATGATGATGATGATGATTACTATTATTATTATTATTATTATTATTATTATTAGTGTGTGGATTAATCACATGGCAACGCTTATGATTAACCTATGCTAAGTTTAACTTATAATTTTAGTTGATAAACAATTGCAAGTCGGCCGCAAAAAGGCGAAAGTATGCACTACTTTTAGCAACAGCTCCATCTGCAAGATACCGTTATTCGTAAACTGTAAAAGCAAAGAGACAGGATGACAAAAATGATATGACGACAGAGAAAGAGAGAGAGAGAGAGAGAGTGCGTGTGTGAGACAGTGGGCGAATGGGGGCGAGAGAGCATGCAAGCGTGGCTCATTGAGAAGATAACAATACGAAATAACTAACTCGCACACAAAGCTCTGCAATAACACACACATACACATACACACACACACACTCACTGCCTCTCTTATCCACTTGCTAGCTACTTCTGTGTGTTTTGCATTTACACTGCTCTACGGGAACAGGATAAACAAAATATTTGGTTAAATGCATTTTTTTTTTGTTTTTGTGCTCTGTGCTAACTATAAAAAAAAAACTAACAGCAACATAAACATCAACAACAAGAACAAGAACAACAACAACAAATAAGAAACTTATCAACAGACTCAACTGAACAAAGGGCATACAATTTATATTAAATGAAGGGCATATAATCTAATATTTAAATATTAACAAATATTTTGAGTATAAGTTGTAAGCTTGAGAGTGTAAAGGAAACAAACAAAGGACACAATATTCGCCAGTGTCCCTAACTTTTAGTCTAGAAACTTAGCATTAATCTAAAAATATATATATATATACATATATATATATAAAATACAACAAATGCAAATAACTAACAATTCGTAAAACAAACAAAATATAAGCAAAAAACAAAAACGATAAGCAGAAATTAAAGCGTTTTGTGCACCAATCACCCACATATTTAAATTTAAGTGTACAATTCATAATGAAAACATTTTGAAAGCAGCCTAGCAAGTAAATCCCCTTTTCCCCTTTCCCCTGCCCCGAACCCGCGTAGCTTTAAGCAACTCTCTAATTTGTAAAGCCTCGATGTTAAACAACAGGAATTCATAATCTATAATTCAATAACATTTTGTTTTCTTTCGTTTATCATCTTTGATAATATATGTATGTGTTCAATATTATTTGCGAGCTCTGTTTCAGCGTATTTCTCAACAATATAACTAAAAGAAGAAAAAAACGTCAAAAATCGTGTAACTAATAACTTAATACAAATCATAATTATATACACACACACACATACACACACACACACACACTATATAAAAATATGTACTTTGCATTATATATATTATATATTTTCAATTAGTTTGTAAAGTCGTTAAGGGGCGTGAGCTGCGAGCACGCATTAAAATTATAACGCTAGCTAATAAATTGTAGCTATAATATGAAATTTGTTTATAAGTAATACCAAACCAATAAAACAAAATAAACAAGAAAGATATCTACAATTCGTATTCTGCGCAAGTCAAGATTATGAATTATGAACATTAATGCAAGAGCTAAGAACGTGCAACAACAACAAAACAAAAGTTTATCTTATGAAACGCATATGAAACACGTAAACATTAAATATTAAAAAACAAAAACAAATCTTATGTAAAACTTTACACAACGCGCCGATATGCCGTTTATATAGCAGTAAAAGAGATCATAAATAAATGATTACATAAAATACAATAAATGTTTAAAGGCAGGCGAATTCAAGTAAAAAGTAACATCCGAAAGTTAAATAAAAAATGCATTACGTGATATTTCTTACAATTTGTTTCATTTGCTTTCTTTTGTTTATACTTTCATTTCGAGATACTTTTCATTTGCCTTCCTCTTAATTGGATCGGAAACTCGAGTTTATCGCCGAGAACCTCTTTCGACTCCGGAGACGCACGCCTTGTAACTTGACCAAAAACCAAACGAAAAACGAAAACTGAAAAAAGAAGCAAATTAAGATTACTTCTCATATAACACGATTACACAACTTAGGAACGGAACAGTCCCCTAGATAGAGTCTAATCCACTGCGGAACCTTGGAACTAGTTCGCGAATGAAAATTAACTGAGTGTACATATAAAATTATTCGAATAACAAATAACCTTGTGTGATTTTCCTTCTAACTAGCGATTTATTAACAACCATGATAAAACTATGATAAACTATGAAATGAGAACAGAACTATATATATACACATATATATAGATATATATTAAATATGCTAACTGTATGACAAGTCCATACGCCATAAGGAAACAAAATATATAGAACTCGTAACAAATTATAAAGAAAAGTAACAGACATTTTGAACATTTTGTAAAATTTAATGTATTTGTATATTGAAAATAGAATTTTTGATCTAATTATTAGCACGAAAATCGAATATGTTAGTTACATAAACCCTATGTATATGCGATAACATTGAATATTAACAAACCACCAACAGTGATATGAGATACAAAAGAAAAACCCAAGATAAAGTTCATAATAATAATAATTCATTAATTAAACAAAAGTGTGTAAAAGATAATGTCACAAATAGGATATACTCAAACTGAACGCGCAAGTCACATAAACATGAACAATAACAATAACAAAACTATGAAAAACAACTAGAACAGCAACAAATTTCCATAATTATTATAGATGTATATTATTACAACAATTATTATTGAAAATGTCAAAGCTAGAATATTCAGCAGCAAATTTTAAAAAGAAGTAGCTAACGAAATTAGGCACATACTATATCAAAGGAACTATGATATATGTATGTATGTATGCGCATATCTAGTATTTCATTAGCCGAAACATACACACACACACACACACACACACACACACACGGTTCGATAGAATTTTAACACATTTGAACAAAGAACTCATAAAATATAATAAATGTAATAATAACACTGCGAAATTAGAAGCGAAAAGGGTAAATGAATAATTAATTAATAAGTAATCCGTAAAATTAACAAATTGCAACAACATTAGATACACTAAAAGGAGCGAATGTCATTTACTCGTAATTGTATGTAATTAATTGTCGACTAAAACAAAACAAAACAAGAAAAATGCTAAAATGAATAAATTATGATTTTGAAAACATAATAACTGAAATGTTATTTTAATTGCGTGGCTAGTTTACATTTAATTTATCCATAACAGTTTTGTTGATAATATATATGATTTTGTTAGGAGCTAATGTCACATTGGCGAAATAACGGAAATAAACATTCAAGTGTGGCCAGATACCATGCTCTCGGGAACGGCGACTGATACATTGAATGCATGCGATATTTTTTTCAAATAGGTGTTCAAGGCATAGTGTATTGAACGTGAGATAAGTAGTTTTGTGTACTTACATAGCATATACAAAATTTAATTAAATCATTATTGTATTAATATTATTCATAGATTGATTTTAAATATATATATGGCCACAACTCGTGACTCGTTATTAGCGACAGTTGCATAAATATCGCGCATCTCTAGATACGCAATAGGCTTATATCGCCCATCTCAATTGTCAGACATCGCTCTCTAACGCTCATCTCTAGTAGCCGAACACAAGTTTGCAAACGAAAAGGTAAAGTGATTTTAACTTGCAATTTCAGTTAAAGCGATTATATAGCGATTGCTATATATATAAACAAAAGCACACGTTCTTAACATTATCCGCCTTCACGCAGGCTACGTTACATAAGAGAGAGGTTCCTATTAGCTGCAACAACATGGGCGCAAAACAGTCGCGTGAGCCACGTTCCGTTTCAATGGAAAATCCAACTCCTGCCGGCGTCCTCGACATATCCGACGATGTGGTGAAGCGTCTGAAGCAGGGTATCACACAGCAGGGTAAAGTATACAGTCTGACAAGTAATTGTAATTGCGCTGCCAAAGATGAGAAATCGCCGCGGCCAAGTGTTATGCAACAATTGTCAAATGACCATTTATTTATATACAAATTAAATATGTTAATTGACAAAAATTCCTTACGACTTGCAGCTCGCGAAAATGCAGCCGCTGCGGAGCTGTCAAAGCCAGCGCCAAAACCACAAGAGCCGACCAAAAAAGCGCCCGTCAAAGACGCCTCCCCGTCATCAACGGTTCTTTACCAGAGCGCCACGCCCATTTATGTGCAGGGCGGCGGTCACACAATCAGCGCCGCCGATGTGCAGCGGCAAATGAATCAGGAGCTGGTGAAGAACGATGAGCTGTGGCGGCAGCGCTTGACAAAGCTGGAGGAGAATCTAAAGAAGACAAATACCATCATGGAATCGGAGTATGCGAATGCTGTGGAGGGTGTGCACAAGCGTTTCGTGAGCACCGCAGCGGCGCACAAAACGCCACCATGCCAGGACCTAAAGGCACAGCTGCTTGCTTGCTATCGTGCCCATCCCGGCGAGACACTCAAGTGCATTGAAGAAGTAGCCCAGTTCAAGCAGTGCGTCGATATGCATCGCATCCAGAAACTGGATAGCGAACCCGAAGCGCCCAAGGTGCCAGTTGCCGGCAAGGCGGCCGTGCCGGTTGCCAAAGCTGGTTAAAGGACTTGTTTGCCCTGTTTAATTGTTTCCTTCTTGTTTGGTTGCTTCTGCGTCTACCACAAAAAGCCTTCAAATGATCTGTTTAAACGAGGGAGCATTCTATTAAACGCGAGGTGTCATTGTAAACGATAGTAAATTAATTTAATATGTAACAAAGGTGCGTTTGTTAATTGCTTATCAGCACAACGTGAATTCGGCAAGGATTTCAAAGGATGTTTACCCTATATAGAAGTATACGCGATCAGGATAAAGTGGTAAGTGGGTATGTGACATTTGCGTATATTTGTACCTATTGAGATCCTTTCTGAGCACACATATAGTCGGTATCGTTCAGATTGGATTACTATAACGATGAATATTGATTATATTTCATAAAAACTATTCAAGATAAATTGCTGAATTTAATTAGAAACATGTTTCGATCAAACATATATAAAATACTATTTTTTCCTGAAGTAAATTAATTAGTATAATTAGTATATTATTTACTGACTGACTGATTGAGTAACTGAGTGACTGGCTAATAGACTGTATGATTACTAGCTGTTTGACTGATTATCAGGCAGAACGACTGACTTGTTAGCTGGTAGAATGGCTGACAGACTGACTGATTGAGTGAACAACTGACACATTGACTGATTGACTGACAGATTCAAAGATTGATAAGTTAACTGACTGACTGACTGATCGATTCACTGACTGATCGATTGACTAACTGCTTGGTGATCAAAGCACGGCGCAAAACATAAAATCTAGGAAGCTGACAATCTCCAGGTTAGATACATATTTCGATGTATGGGAGGGAAGTGACTGGACACGTAGAGAATATGTAATGTTGGAGCGATTAGCTCTCAAGCTAATTTTAAAGCTTACAAAAAAAATAAGACATATTTCACATAAACATACTTCTTAAGAAAAAGTCGGGTAATACTTGCCATGTATTAATATTCAACATTTATCATATGTGTATC